TGCTCCTCAGATTCAATGTAAATCTTGTATGTAAACTAATGTCTTGAGATGTCCCCAAACAAAAAAAATGAATAAGGTTCGTATCGGGTGATCTGGTTGACCTGGTTCTTGAGTGCCTCGTTCAATCACGTTATTACCGAATCATTCATTTAAAAATTCACGAACAGTCAAACTAAAATGTGGGGGAACCCCGTCGTTCCATTCTTTCTCTTAGCGCATAGGGAACATCATCAAGTAGTTCAGGCAAACGTTTTTTTAAGAAAATGTCTGTTATAGGCACCGGTTAATGTTCTTGGTAAAAAGTAAGGCCCCAACAAGAAACCAATAATACCCACCTATACATTCAAAGAAAGCTGATATTGAAATCGAGATTCCATTATGGCATGAGGGTTTTCATCAGACCAAACGTGTTTATTGTGGAAGTTTATTATAGCATCTCTGGAAAAAATAGCTTCGTCGGTAGAAAATTGTAGACGAGCAGGATAGTCTTGAGGCAGTAAGGCTTGAACCCTTTATTTGTGATACGGATATTACTGTTGATGCTTCAAAACGGACCGAACTAATTTATAATTCACATCAAGATTTGCAGCGATCTTCTTAATACTAGTATTTGGGTCTTCTTTAATTCTTCGTGTAAAATAGCTTTTTCCAACTCAGGCGTTTTAACACTCAAAGGAATTGAACCTTTCTGAAATGAACCTGACTCCGAAAAACGTTAAAAAACATTTCTAAACATTCTTTGATCTAGAGTTGGATGGCAAACTTTGACAACAAATGTATATGCATAATACAATTTTATTTTAAGAGGAGGGATGGGGATGAACTTAACAATTATTTCCTTTTTTTTTTGGGCCAACCGCTATAAAATTTGACGCAATATTATGAGAATATAATTGTGCACCAAAAACTTTACTAAAATATTCTTGGTCCATATTACTAGAATGTAACGTTAAAATAGAAATATCAGTTTATGTATCAATAATTATTACTAAAAATGTCGAAACTTCCAATGATTTTTTAAACAGAAAAAATTTTTCAAGATATCTAGACATGCCCGCATTTATCTGTATTACAGAAATTTATTTTTATTTAAGTTGGTCTATTTTATGTATTAAGGGCGCCGTTTTATAGACAAGAAATCGCACTTTTGGTAAGACAGCGATAGCACCTGATAGATAGTAGAAAATCCATCCAGGAAGTGGCGGTCTCTACTAGCTTAATGCCAAACTAGAACAACTTCATAATACCACATAACAATCGACGTAAAGATTTCTTTAATCGGTAACTATATATTNAACTCAGGCGTTTTAACACTCAAAGGAATTGAACCTTTCTGAAATGAACCTGACTCCGAAAAACGTTAAAAAACATTTCTAAACATTCTTTGATCTAGAGTTGGATGGCAAACTTTGACAACAAATGTATATGCATAATACAATTTTATTTTAAGAGGAGCGATGGGGATGAACTTAACAATTCTTTCCTTTTTTTTGGGCTAAAAGTATTAAAAGTGCACCTATTCATTTAATTCAGTTTGTCGGTATCAACACCAATATTAATAATAAATCTCTATCTACTAATAGCAATATCAAATTTTTTTAGATGATTTGTTTAGATGATATTTTACTGTTTTTCTTTTGTTAATGGGGCTATTATGACGGGCGATAATCGTACTCAGGTCGACCCAGGTACCTTCTCATTCTCTTAAATTTAAAATGTTTTTAACCTAGTACCAAATTTATTAGGTGTTGCTAAGTGCATACAACACAAATAACAGTTAATTTATAATAAAGTTCTTAAATATTGTCAGTTAGTATTGAGGACTTATATAAAAATATAAATAATGATATACCTAGAGATAGGGTTAAGATTAACGGGCAGTTGATTTGTGATAAAGTAAAAAATAGAATTCTCGGTATAGCAACAAATAGAGATATTGAAAAATTGAAATTGTATGTATTAGAGTAGTTCTTCGAATTAAGAATAAGTTTGAATCACATGATGTAATTGTAATAGGGTGACAGACCATTGGCCGAACCTTGGTTATTATCACGATTAGGAATTTACAAAAATTCACTCCGGATATTCAGATTACTGCACGCAAAAAAGTTCTTGCTTCAAATGTACAATGTATCGCACGTTTATATACATACCTATACGCAAGAAAATATTTGCTTCCTTCAAGAAAATTATTTATTTATTTAAATACTTTAAATTTCTACCCAGAAATATAATATCTTTAAAAATAGGCAGCATTTGAAACAAATATTTGATACTTACGGTTAAACGAATTGTATTCTTAATTTTATGATCTACATAAATTTTATAGAAACATGTTTTGTATTGTATATTAGTGTATCGTTTGTTTAATACAAAATTGAATAGTTTTGGTCAAATGAATGTATACAGGTACTTATTTTAAGATTATATTTGGATATAAATATTTCTCAGTTATAAAAAATGTTTTGTTTCAAACTCACAACACCTAGTATAGTCTTTCCGATATCAATTGAAGAACCAAGAGGATGACAGTATGTATATACAACAGCTAGGATCGCTTGTAAGTTTAACCTTTGACTATATACACTATAGTCAAGGGTTTAACCAACAGATATAGGTCGGTTTGGGACTTTTTGATGGTCCTGATCAATATAATATGCCTCTAGATGGCGTTACTCACAAGGAGATGTGTATACACAGACCGTAAGTGGCTCCATCTACCGAGCTACTTCACACCTACGCCATTCTGTGACCTGCTACAATTTTATTTCAAGAAAGCATAAGTTTGATTATAATGTACTACATTTGTCTTGAGTAATTCCTACATTAATACTAAATTTTAAATACACATATTATATATTTTAAGGAACGGGTAGTTTTGAAACAAATATGTTTGCAGTTTATGATGAGCTGTAAGAGATACTGTAGCTAAAGTCGGAGATAATTTTCAAAACTGTAAAAGATTTGAATTAAATTATATACAGGGTGTCCCTGAAATGGATGGACAACGCTTGATCACAGGTTCCTTGGATGAAAATAAGACTATTTAGCCTAACTTACCTATATACAAAAGTGCACGCCTACTGAGATATAGCCTTCTAAATATAGAATAGATAACCCATTTTTTTCAAATAATTTGAAAAATATTTTTCTTAGAAACTTCAAATTTGGTACACTTATTTTTGTTTATATAAGGGCAAGGTAAATATAGAATTTGGAGAGAATACATATACAGGATGTTCTATTTCTAGTGCCTGTGCGCCACTGGCTATCCCGTAACTTTTTTGTGTGTATGTCAATGGCGACAGAATTTATATTTTTCAAAATAAGTACTATTTTAGAAGATTTTTTTGGTCTTACAAAATTTTGATATTGTTTATGGATTTCGAGTAAAATTCGCATTATTTATACTTACATTAAATATAGGCAAAAATTCCGATTTATAAAAAAAAATTATAACTGCAACCTCAAAGCAGGGAATAATGATGATTAAAAAAAATAACTACACATTTTTGGTATTAGTATTATCAATCAATAAAATAAAAATCAACACTAATATTTTAAATAAACAATATCAACTAATAATGTAAGAAAGTCAACATTAACATTTTAAATAAACTGATATTTGTAATCACATTAAATGCTCAAAGTTATTTTCTTGTTCTTAAACGCAAACATCTCATAACATTAATTTCATGTTGTATTCTTTCCCATATTCGTTTTCTGTATTTACTGAAAAGTTATTTTAAACTGTGGTCCTCAACGTTCCCCAAATGAGTTACGGTTAAATGAAATGATAATTAAATGAAATAATTACATGGGTTTAGGTCCGGGGATCGAGGTGGCCATTTTAAAGGGGCATTAATTATTTCCTCTACCTATCCACCTGTTAGACCTTTAATAACCTGTAATACCTACCTGTACCCTGTAATACCTGTAACCTGTATATTGGAATTTTTTCATATTTAAGTCTATACCAATGACAGGACAACCGTCTTAACCTTAATAAATAGAATATTAAAAAAACTATTCTTGTGTTTTTTTCGAAAAATCAATGTTTTATATACATATATACATATTTTTTGACATATATACCATATTTGAAGTTTCTAAGAAAAACAGTCTTCAAATTATTTGAAAAAAAACTAGGTTATCTGTTCTATATTTAGAAGGCTATATCTCAGTAGGCGTGTACTTTTGTATATAGGTAAGTTAGGCTAAATAATCTTGTTTTAATCCAAGGAACCTGTGGTCAAGCGTTGTCCATCCTTTTCAGGGACACCCTGTATATTTACAAATAATATAAATTCTAAGAAAAATTATAGATTACAGCAAATATTTTACATAGTTTGACGAAAGTATATACATTTGAATAAATAAGATTTACGGCAAATAATTCCATTTAAAACTATCTGCTCATTTGATCCAAATACTTTTTTTTTTCAGTGTACTTTTGTTCTTGTTATTATTATGGTTTTAGAGAGATCAAATGTTATATTTAGATTATTATAAGTTAATTTTCTTCACCACTATTATCTGCATTCTCAAAGCAATTTGATTATGGTTATAGAGAATGGTCAATTAGTGTTACAAAATTCAATGGTTGTTGTTATTTGAGTCACAAAAAAATTTAGTAAAAGGTACAACAGATCAAAAAACTCTACCTATATTAAAATTATTTTCAAATATAGGATCAGGGTGAACTATGGCAGTCAACAGTTTTATTTTTCAAATTAAACACCCTATATATTTTTATTTTATTTGAATTCATATTAACATTATGCCACGGTTATTTACACTGACATTTCTACTCCATTATTGCAATAAAAATTTCATCTTGATACATGTCACGCTGTTCAATATATTTTTATCGCTATATTTATACTGTCTTTAGTACCTCAATATATTAGTTTATTTATTTATTACTGTGTCGATTAAAAAACTCCTGAGATAAGAGCAGCACCATTAAAATTGTCGACCAACCTCAAGTGTACAGCGAATATTGTAAAAACAGTTTAAGTAGGACATTGATAGTGAGTGTATTTTAGTTACAACTTGTTCAGTGGAATTGTACGTTGTCATTTATACTGTTAACTCAGAAAAATAATCCAATATGTCTATTACGTTAAGCGATGAACAGTTTAAACATTTGTTGGATAGACTTCAAATAAGTGGCTCGAGTAGTGGGAATTTTACCAAGTGTTCTTCACGTTTCAGTGGTTCAAAAGTCTCTGATGTTAACGCATTTATCGATGCTGTTGAAATTTACAAAGATTGCACCCATGTGTCGGATGAGAACGCACTTCGTGGTTTACCAATGTTGCTGGATGATTTTGCTGCAAGATGGTGGCACGGTGTGAAATCAACTATAACAACTTGGGACGCTGCTGTTGATCTTTTAAAACGCACGTATGGACCTGTTAAGCCTCCGTATCGCGTATACAGAGAACTTTTTGCATCTGAACAAGATTTGATAACACCAACTGATATATTTATTTGTAAAGCACGTGGCATTTTATCACAACTGCCAGCTAATACCCTGTCAGAAAGTATTCAGCTAGATATGGTGTATGGTTTATTGAACAGAAGAATGAAAGAGAAAATTCCTAGAAATAAAGTTGAAACATTCACTGAACTTTTGGAAAAATCACGCCTTGCTGAAGAAATTTTCAATGAAACTATTTATTTCGAACAAAATAAAACAAATACAAAGAAACTACGTTGTACTTATTGCCGAACTGTAGGTCATTCGAAAGGAGAATGTGATAAGTTGTCCACACGTCCTATTGTGGATACTGTGCCATCTACTATCGAATCTCCAGTAGAATTTTGTATGCTGAACACAGATATAAAAAGCAATTCAATAGCACTTAGACCTAGACCCATAATGTACATTAATATCCTTGGTCTTCAAGGTACTGGTATTATAGATACTGCTGCTAAAGAGAGTATTGCAGGTCAATCATTGTATAATGTTATGGTTGCTAAAGGACAAACGTTCAAACAAGATAAAATTTATGTTGGGTTGGCTGATGGTAGTACTAAATTAGAAAATGTCCTAATTACTTATGTAGATGTAAAGATTCAAGGTCGTGTAATACCAACAAGGTTTATTATTTTAACTGACGCTGTTAACAATAGTACATTGTTAGGAATTAATTTTATACAAGATGCTAGAATAAGTGTTGATGTCTCTAATCGCATGTGGTCATTTTCTGATGCACCGTTTGTCAAATATGAACTGCATTTTGAGACAAATCAAGCAAATGAAGATACTAAAGTTTATTATTCTGACTTTCTACGTTCCGATGAAGGTAGTATGTTACCATCTACAGTAAAAGAAAAATTCAATGCCCAATTGACAGAAAATCGTCCTTTCTTTCCTTTTGTTGCAGAACCAACACCTTATGGAGTATATTACAAGAACACTGAAGATATTGGTTCCGCCATGTTAGATGACCGTAACGTACAAAGAAAACCTAATAAAGTTTCTCGACGATATACTAAAAAAAAGCGTAATTGAAGAGAGTGAGCCGTGACTATGTGACGATTGTAAACATTTAAACGCCATAAGAGTTAATGACTCTATCTCTATCTCTATCTCTATCTCTATCTCTATCTATATCTCTATCTCTATCTCTATCTACATCACCATCCTCTATCTTTATCTCAATCTCTATATCTATTTAATTTTTATATATCATTCTTAGATTTGAAATACAATTACCACCAATTCTATGTACATCTTCCGGATTGTAATAAAACAATTTAGAATTTATCGCTACTTATGTTTACCTTTTGCCCTGTGGTCAGAACCGGCCAAGTTTTAGTGTTAATGGATTGCATTCGTCTTAGGCTAAGTCAAGTATTAATACCCGTCTATGTAGACCATTTAATTGTGCTGTCAGACAGTGCTATTTCGCCTTTGAATGACTTAAACTTGGTGTGTACTAGCCTTAGACAATTTAAGTTGTGTGCTAACTGGGAGAAATATTTCGTGTACCCAAAATTATCATAGTGACAACTTCAAATATACTAGTTCCGAGTAACATTAAGAAAGTACAATTTTTTTCACAAAGTTGCCCAAAGTTGGTATAAGAGATTTATTGTGAACTTCGCAGATATTTCTTGTCAATTGAGTGACCTTACTAGGAAGAATGCTCCATAGATCTAGTCAACTCAAAGAGAAGCTGTCAGTTTATTGAAGAACCTACGTATGTAAAAAAAAACAATTAATTTCTACGTACGTAGAACTGATACGAGTAACTATACTGCAGTGGTTGGACTGTCACAGGGGGTGAATGATGAAGAACATTTGACGGAACAGGCTAGTCGACTTCTGTCAAAGACTAACTGTAACTATACATCTACGGAATGAGAGGCTTTAACTACTAACTGGTCACTAATTAAATGTAGAGGTTATGATATGGTTTACCGATTACTGTCACTACAAATTATCAACTATTGGGATGGCTGCTGAAATCAGTTACTGGAGACTTACCAGATGAACTATTCTTCTACTGATACACAAATTCCAAGATGTGTCTAATACTTCAAAATTGTGTCTATGGACTGGATCCTAAAGCATCCGAGTATATCTCTTGGAATGTACCACTTCTTGACCCTCACACCTTATACTGAACTCTGAGAAGGTGAACTCAAGTTGAAATTAAGACATGAGAATTCAAAGAATATGAAGACTGCCTTATTTGGTTCTACGTCGGCGGTGTAAAGTGTAACCAGATAGGAATACTATGTAATAATGGACTGGCCCAAGCACTTATTCCTTGTGTTAAATTGATTGTCGATTGTTAGTAATATTTAAATGCTTTATGTATATTCCAAATACCTCAATATATTAATTTGTCGTAACCTGAGTGTTAATTAGAAAACCCTAGAGATAAGAATACCGTTAGACAATTATACTCCAGTCGGGTTAGACAAAAAAAGGGCTTAACCGGGAAAAAATTAGGGACCATTTTATTGTTCTAACCTTTAGGGGGGGGGGGTCAATAGTAGTGTAAATTCAGAATCGCGACTGAATTCCATAACAGTCAGACTGAAGTCAATAACAAACGAGATAATTCAATAATTATACTTTGTCACTATTTTCCCCCTTAACTTGAAAAATATCGATTGCACGATAAAATTTGTAATGAAAGAAGTTGTAGAAAATTGCATTTGCAACAACTTAATTCATTACCATTTTTGTTGTAAAGTTGAAAATGGCCGAGATATTGAGAAAAACAATTCCTTTGAAACCAACTCCCGCAAGGTCCTACGCTCGCGTCTTTACCACAAGCGTTGGACCTTAAATATTGATTATAGCGAAAAAATCAAAGAGATCAAAATTGTAGAAAATATAATACTTTCCAACGTTATTTATGTATATTTATGTCGTAAAGTCAATAACAAACGAGATAATTCAATAATTATACTTTGTCACTATTTTCCCCCTTAACTTGAAAAATATCGATCGCACGATAAAATTTGTAAT